TGGAACCGGACAGTTGTTGTTGTTGTTGCTGTTGTTGTTGCCTTTGTTGTTGTTGCTGCTGCTGCTGTTGTTGTTGTCGTTGTTGTTGTTGTTGTTGTTGTTGTTGTTGTTGTTGTTGTTGTTGTTGTTGTTGAATTTTCAATATTGAAGAATAATTATTGTTGACCCCTCTCCGGTGCACTTTGTAGTTTTTTCCAATTGAAATGCCCCTCCCGGCGCTCGCACCCTGTTTTTAGCAGGGAAAATCTTCCTCAAATTGGGCCCTTGGCCCCCGGTTTACAACAACAACGGCTCCCGCTTGATACTTCCTCGAAATTTACTCCGGTCCCCCGCTCATGCTTGAGATGTCCATGCGATTTACTCAAGAGTCGCGCTCCCGCCTTAGACTTCCTCGTAATTTACTCAGGCGCCGCGCTTTTGCCATTCAGGAATCGCGCGTTCGCTGGGGATTTCTTCAAATTTACTTGGGAATCGCTTTCTCGTTGGAAACTTTTTTAGCCAATCACGCAGAACTCACAATCGATCCGCCCGCTCGGCCCGCCCGTCAAGGTCATGCCCTTCGTGCCCCATGCTCGCTCGCGCCCTTTGTGCCTCATTGCTGCCCTTCGTGGCCCTTCCCCTTGTGGCCCAGTCGCTGCCCTTTGTGGCCCCGATGCTGCCCTCAGAGGCCCCTCGCTGCCCTTTGTGGCCCCATCTATACGCCCTTCGTGGTCCCCACTCGCTCGTGCCCTCAGTGGCCCCATTGCTGCCCTTCGTGGCCCCGCTGCTGCCCTCAGTGGCCCCCTCGCTGCCGTTTGTGGCCCATATGTTCGCTCGTCGTGGCCCCCAGTCGCTCGTGCCCTCAGTGGCCCCATTGCTGCCCTTCGTTGCCCTAGTGTAGCACCCGGTGCCTCCCCCCCGCTGCCCTCGGTGGCCCCCTCGGTGGCCCCCTCGCTGCCCTTTGTGGCCCATCTATTCGCCCTTCGTGGCCCCCAGTCGCTCGTGCCCTCAGTGGCCCCACTGCTGACCTTCGTTGCCCTGGCGTAGGCCCTTTGTGGCCCATCTATACGCCCGTCGTGGCCGCCAGTCGCTTGTGCCCTCAGTGGCCCCATTGCTGCCCTTTGTGGCCCCGTTGCTGTCCTCAGTGGCCCCCTCGCTGCCCTTTGTGGCCCATATATACGCCTGTCGTGGCCTCCAGTCGGTCGTGCCCTCAGTGGCCCCCTTGCTGCCCTTCGTGGCCCCAGTGTAGCCCCGTGTGCCCCCCCCCGCTGCCAAATGTGGCCCCCTCGTTGCCCTTTGTGGCCCATCTGTTCGCCCTTCGTGGCCCCCAGTCGCTCGTGCCCTCAGTGGTCCCACTGCTGCCCTTCGTGGCCCCAGCGTAGCTCCTTGTGCCCCTCTCCCGCTGCCCATTGTGGCCCCGCTGCTGTCCTCAGTGTCCCAGGCGCTGCCCTTCGTGGCCCCCCGTCGCTTGCGCCCTCAGTGGACCCGTTGCTGCCCTTCGTGGCCCCAGCGCAGCCCCTCGTGGCCCCCTTGCTGCGCTCTGTGGCCCCGTCAATGCCCTCAGTGGCCCCATTGCTGCCCTTCGTGGCCCCGCTGCTGCCCTCCTTCATCTCTGCCCATTGTGGCCCCGTTGCTGCCCTTGGTGGCCCATGTATACGCCCTTCGTGGCCCCCGCTCGCTCGTGCCCTCAGTGGCCCCACTGCTGCCCTTCGTGTTCCCGCTGCTGCCCTTAGTAGCCCCATTGCTGCTTCTATCGTCCGCAGTTCTGCTCCCTCCATCTTGTCCCTTGCCTCCCTCCCTTCCCCCACTCCTTTCCCCGCTTTCTCTCTCTCTCTCTCCCTCTCTTTCAGTCGCGCTCTCTCTCTCTCTCTCTTTCCCTCTCTCTTTCTGTCGCGCTCTCTCTCTCTCTCTCTCTCTCTCCCCCTCTCTCTCTCTCTCTCCTTTCTCACTCCTCTTGCTCTTTTAGGGGCTGCGCCCAATACACGTGGCAGGTCAGGAACATGTACCCCCAACGGGGGTACGATCGAAGACGACGTGGGCGGGTATCGGGGGTTGGGGATATACGTGGTGAAGTACGCGCGATCAGATACGAACGAGCAGTCTTAAACTGCTTGTTGTTGTTGTTGTTGCTGCTGTTGTTGTTGTTGCGTTGTTGTTATTGGGAGGGGGGTCGCATTGGGGAAGGGCGTCAGGGAATGTCCCTGCCCCCCAGGAAGGTGGTCCTGGTCATGGCTCTTACCAAGTGCGTCCAGGAAAGTCCCAATCCTTGATGATGATGATAATGATGATGATGATGATGATGATGATGATGATGATGATGATGATGATGATGATGATGATGATGATGATGATGATGATGATGATGAGGATGAGGATGAGGATGATGATGCTGCTGCTGATGATGATGATGATGATTTTTGATGATCATCATGATGATGCTGATGCTGACGAGGATGATGATGCTGATGATGATGGTGGTGATGGTGATGATGATGCTGCTGCTGATGATGATGACGAGTATGGGGATGTGGATGGAGATGGTGGGGTTGACAATGATGTGGGGGTGGTGATGCTGATTATGATGATGATGGTGATGATGAGGTAGGCTGCATGATGCAGGGAAGGGGTGTTTCCTCTCCCGTACCCCTGCAGGCATGTTGGGGACTGTCGTGCCGTGTTGGCGCGAAGGCGTGGTAGCGATCTTGTCGCGGAAGACCTCACCGTGGACCACAAGCCGACTGTGGAGAGCGAGCGGACATCGTGTCTTTCTGAACTTTCGCCTCCTCTTCCTCCTCCCCGTCCCTTGCCAATTTCTTCCCGTCGCCTTCTCGTCCTCCTCCCTCCCTCCCTCCGCCCCTCCCTCCCGCCCTCCCACTGCTCCTTCCGTACCATTCCCCCTTCTACCCTTCCGGCGCCTCGCACCTCCCTTCTGTTCGTCTCCCTCCTCTTATCCCCCCCCCTCCTTCTCCCCATCCGCCTTCTCCCGCTCCTGCCTTAGACCATCCCTCCCTCCCTTCTCCTCCCCCCCTCCCTCCTCCCTCCTCCTCGTCCTCCTTCTCCCCCTTCCTTCTCCTCCTCCTCCTCCTCCTCCTCCTCCTCCTCCTCCTCCTCTTCCCTCTCTCCCTCCCTCACTCCCTCCCTCATCCACTTCCCTCCCTTCCCATGCCCCTCTACTCCTCCCGATCCCCTCATCTCCCTCTCCTCCCTCCTCCTTTCCTCGCTCTTTTCGGCTTGCCCCTCCTTCCTCTCTCCTGCAGTCGAAGGTTGCCAGAGGTGGTCCTGACCCCAGGTTTCCTCGTTTTTCCTGTCATTTTTGAGCCTGTGGGGCCGCCTGGTCCTCGTGATAGGGGTGCCCTGGAGGCCATCTGGGCCTCCAGGGAAATGCTGGGGACACCTTGGGCCAGGGGTACCTTTGGCAACACCTGGCGCGCACCTCCCTCGCAGCCCCCCCCCGTCGTCGAGGAGGCGTGTGCAGGCCGTGGGCGGGGTGGTGCGGAGACTAGAGGGCGACCTGCCCCACCGCGTCTTCCTCGCGGGGAAGATGTACCCTGGTCCCTGGGACGGCTGAATCCATGGGATAGACAGATTTGGCATCCTCCCTCTCACTCTCCTCCCTCCTCTCGTCCCCCCTGTTCCAGCTCCTCGCTGTAAAATTACGCAATCTGAATATCACTCTCCTCTCTCCCCTGATGACGTCTGGAAGATATCCGGCCCCCCTCCGCGTATATTTCTTTTTTCTTATATATTCATGTTTATTTATTTATTTTTGTATTTATTTATTTATTTATTATATATATATGGAGAACTGGCCCCATTTCTGCGCCTCTGATTGTTCCCAAACGTGTTCCCGCTGCAGCGCGGGCGTTTTCGGGATTACCCATTCGGTGTCGATTCGTTGGTCTCTTGGGCCGCAGAAGCCCCCCACTTTGGGGCGTCGTCGTCTTCAGGAAGTATCAAGCGGGAGCCCCTTTTCAGTTGAGAAGGCGATGTTGGAAGCAGGGCCAGCGGGTGCTCTCCATCAACTCCGCCTTGTGTGGAGCTTTTTGGGACGCCCAGGAGCTAGACATGGAGCCACGACTCCAGACCAGCCCAGAATTCTCGAAGACGATCCACTTAACCGGCGCCATGCCATGACATGCTGTGCGGTATTGCGTTTTGCGCCGCTGTGCGATGCCATGCTTTGCTTTGCAATGCTTTGTGATGCAATTCTTCACTGCGTAATGCCACGCCATGCTGGCATGCTACGCTCTTCCGTGCTCTTTTACGCCATGCCATGCCGTGCTCTACCATGCATCGTGTGCCTTCTCGCGGTCATTGCCTTGCTCGACATCCGACTGTGCGAATAGCGAGGATATCTACGCCATGGTTTGGGATGTGAGGGAGGTGTAGGACGTCAGATTTGACGCGAGCGCACTTAGCTTGCCCCTTCCCCCTCCCCCTCCCCCTTCTCCTCCTGCTCCTCCTGCATTCTTTTTCCTTGCAATCAATTCCTCCCTGTCGCAACCCGAGATGTGCCGGTAAGGCGGGCCGGGCGTTCGCCTGAGACTTGCCCACTGTTTATGATGTTGAAGGCGAGGAGTTTCACGGATGGAGGGTGGGTCGTTTTAAAGATGTTATTCGTCTTAGCTCCGCGCGCATTCGCTTTACACAAATTGCAAGATTTTCGCGGATGGAGGGTGGTCCATTTTCAACATGAGGCTCTCGCTTTAGCGCCGCACATTCGTGTGAAAAGTTCGCAGGAGTTTCACAGATGTCTGGCGGGTCGTTTTTTTTCACTGTGATTCTCGCCTTAGCGCCAAGCGCATTCGTGTTGAAGTTTTGCAAGGTCTTCACGGTTTGAGGGCATTTTTTGTTTGTGTGTGTGTTTTTGTTTTGTTGTTTTGTGTTTCTTTTTTTCCCAACATGTGATCGCCTCAGCGCCGCGCGTATTCGATTCAAACGTTTGCAAGAGTTTCACAGGTGCCGGGCATTTCTTTTTCAACGTGTGGCTTTTGCCGTAGCGCCGCGTATTTGTCATGTGGGTTTTTGGCACATGTTACAGCAGTTTTAAGGATTCTTATGGTTGATGTCCCAGAAATGGTGTTCTGCCACGATGTAGGAGACTGTCAGGGCGCAACAGTCACGGTGATTCGCGGTGTTGAAGTCCCAGGAGCGGAGTTCTGGCACGACTCAGGATAGTCAGGACGCAACAGTAATGTTGATTCGCTGCGGTTCACTCGTAGGAATGGTGTTTGGCACGGTTCAGGATTTTCAGACGATTGTCTTCCAACGGGGCACTTCTTGAAGTGAAAGTAATCCATGTAGGGGCTTTTGGGGAGGGAACTTGGAGGGAGGGTTTCTTGCAACATCTTTGTGCGTCTTGGGTTTGCACAGGTCCTCTTCTTCCTCCTCGTCGCCTTATTTCTCCTCCTCCTCCTCCTCCTCCTCTTCCTTTTTCTGACATTCGGCAAACATCAGCGGCAGGGCTGTTGCGTTCCTCTCTCCTCCTCCTCCTCCTCCTCCTCCTCCTCCTCCTCGTCCTCCTCCTCCTCCTCCTCCCCTCGTCCTCCTCCCTCTCCGAGCTTCTCCCCCTTGCCGTTCCCCTGTTTCTGGCCCCGCTATGTCTTACTCCCAAGCGGATGACAAATCTGTCACTTTCTTTGTCCGCCTCCAGGTCTGTCAATGACCCGGTCCATCGCCGGGCCGGGACGGGCGGCTTCGGAGCGACCGCCACCTTCGTTCGCCCTTTGCCTACCCCCCGCGCGGAGAGATGGGGTATCCAACATGCGTCTCGGCATGCATGCGTTTGGCATGTGTGTTCCACATTTTGTCGATCCCAAAAGGGGCCACAGGGGGTATCCAACATGGGAGCGGCGGATTTTCCGCGCGTAAAGATACATGCGCGGAGGGAGGATCCAACATGCGTCTGGCGCGTGCGTAAAAATACGCGCACGGAGGGACATGCCACGTCTGTGTCTTGCACGTAGTTTGATGATGTGCGTTGTGGCGCCCACATGGCCACATCGTGGAATGTCCAACATCGGAGCTGCGCTTTCATATAATAATCAGTGCGCAGAAGGGGTGTCCAACATGCGTCTGGCGCATGCGCATTTGGCATGTGGTTTCCTGTGTCCATGCCTCCACGGGGGTCTCGAAAAGTGTTTCTCTAACGAAAACAGAGGTCGGATGTGGACACGTGAAAATACGTACGCGGGGAGAGGCGGTATCCAGCATGCGTCTCGGCATGCACGCGTCTGGTATGCGTTTTTACATGTTCTCGGCGCCTCAAAGGGCACAATATGGGGTATCCAACATGGGAGCGGCGGATTTTCCACAAGTGAAAATACGTGCACGGAGGGGAGTACCGAACGTGCATCTGAAGGCCCTGGGATGTCGGATAGCGGTGGGAATGAGGATTCGGGTCTCGTGACGAAACTGAATACAACACGCGCGGTACGCCTTACACGGCGTAGCACAGCACACCGCACAGAAAGGCCCAGCACAGTATTGACTCGTATCCCATACCATGCCGACGCCAGCGTATAGCAGACGTGTTGGGATACATCCTGACTCAAATACTTTACCATGTTTGTGGATCTTTTTTTTTCGGAAGACGGATTGAACATGAGTGGGATGAGGGGGAGGGGGAGGAGGACAGGTAGGCTGAGGATGATTATGGGGAGGTGGAGGAGGAACTGTTAGAATATGGCCCTGCGGTTGGGTTCATAGCGATGCAGGTAAGTCGAGCATATGTCGTTACCGATGCTGTTTTCCTCAAGCGTTTGTTCCGTGGAGCTGTCTCCCTTCGACCGCGGTTAATAACATCAAACCGTTACAGTGCAGATCCTCCTCAGGAATTTGCATGGAAGCGGAGCGAGGTTAATAACAGCCACGGCAGCAGCGCCCGTTCATCCAGGAGACTGCTTCCCGGAATTCAACGCACCCCAGCACCGAGACAAATGTTTTAGCTGAAAGCCTGCGGGGTTTAAGCAATTACCCGAAGCCGCGTACTACGGGGGTGATTACAGCGACGTGAAAGTGGCTCTGAGACTTAAGGTCGAGGGGATGGGAATTCCAAGGTATGGAAGAGTTCTTCGAGAGGCAGACAGCGGCCAGTCTTAGAGTTGCCACCAACGAGGAAGGTTACTGATTGTCACGCATGACCCAAAGCATGAGTTCAGTGATGCGCAACATGTACTCATACTAGGAGGCGGAGAAACTTTAGCCAATAATCGCGGACCTGGAAGACCGAGCGAACGTGCAGAACAAACACTTTGATCATATTACGAAGATAGCGGAACCGATAGCGGTAGGCACAAGCAGGTGGGGAGGCCGTCCTCCATGTGTCAGCGAATACAAGCCCACGCAGCAGCTTAAGACGTTCGCTGGCAACCGAGGCATATTCAGAAAGTGGAGTGAAGCATGGTTGAACGCCCTAGCCCAGGTGAGCCCACAGTACCGGCTCGCGTTAAAGAGTTCAGGTAGCAAGCTGGATACTATGAGCGGGACGTAGCGGGACGAGGATGTCGATGAGATGTTTCGAATCTTCAGCGGTCGGTTGACGGCATCAGAACCCGCGAAAACCAGCGCGGTGGAACGGCATGAGGACGACGATAAAACAGAATTCGGCATCACCGGCGAAATCGTACACCAATTCGACGAGGACGTGTGGTACATCGTGAACGACCCATTGGAGGGAGTGGAACCCTGGGGGAGAGTTAAACGGGCTCAGAGAGACGGCGATGAATTGCCAGCGTGCCAGGAACATATACATGGTACTCCGCGGCTACCAGGGTGATCCTATCTGCTAGAATGAGCTTAGCTATGAACTCGGACAAACCGAAGAACTTCGGATATGTCGCCGCGCATTTCGAAAAATGGGCGGCGCTGGTGGACCTCCCATTCCGCATTATCGCGCTGAGAGCCATCATGGCCCACGCAGGAAACTGGCTTGAGAAGTGGCCTCAGGAGCGCATTCTTAAAACGCCTGGCTCTCTCACGCCAGAAAACTACGAAACGTTGTGCGTTCAATGTGAGGATTGGGCGCGCAAGAAGAGGCTAGGTGCCAGCGCGCGAAATCATGATTCCATTGGCATCGGAGGCGTCAGTGACAGTGACGTCGATCAAGAGAACATCTGGGGATCCCGTGAGGGCTGCAGAGCAGATGGTCATGTCGATGATGCTGGTTGCTAGTGGGCTAGTGAGGCTGACTGGGGTTATGAGGATGAGCATCGTGGGGGATAATTCGTAGATGTAGTTGACAAGGCAGAGGTAAAGGAGGAAATGGGCCCGAGTGCTGCAGACGCGGTCGCTTCGGACACGCCGTGGCCGCGAACGGCAGGAAAGGCGGCGGCGAGGGCAGCGACGTAACAAGTGGAGGCGAGGGTGGAAGGGCGACGTGCGGGTGGCACGTTGAAGGGCAGGGCCGGGGCGAGGCTGGTGTGTGCGACGGCCGCGGAGGCAAGGGTTTCGGGGGTTGGGCCAACGAAGGGATGGGTCCAACAAGTGACCGTGAATCTTTCAACGTGGGGAGACATGGCGCGTCGCGTCGCGGCGCAGTGAAAAGGGTGCCGACGAGGTGGGGGGCCGCGATGAGACATGACCATCATCGGATCACCTTGGAAGGTTGAAAGGGGGTGCAGGTTATTTCACTTGGACAACCCATGCCGGGATGCGAGGGGGTAGCCCCCCCCCTGGCGACCCGCCTGGGTTAGGCGGTTGGACCCAGCGGCGCCGCGGGAGGAAACGACGCGCGGGCTCCAGAAATTCGAGTGGGCGCCGTGCAACAGGGGGCGGCTGTTACTCAGGGCATTCCCATAGCACTGACTGGCCAATGAGAATCCAGAAGAGCCTGCAGGCTGAGCCATGTGGCAGGCGGAGCGCGCCGAAGTGCAGCTGGTAGAAGCACCTCGGATCTGTCTAGGAATTAACGTACCCCCCCGACAAAGAGACCGTCGGGTCGCGTGCAACACAGGCGGCCTGCGAAGCGAGTGTGGGGAGCAATTTCGCAGACTCCCGCGGGGGCCTCGCCATCAGGAAAGCGCTGCAGTGCCGCCGACGGTGCAGTTGCTGGAAGTTTTGGCCGAATCATGATCGTGGGAAGTTGCCGGGGCGAGGCTCGAGTGAACATGCCCACCCATGTGGCTGATCTTGAAGGTAGTGGGGCTAGCGCGCGAAATTGTGCGAGCGGGAAATAGGATCTGGGCCTGATCGAGACGACAACGAGCGACCCTGCAGTCGCGCGGAGCGCGGAGTGACTGGGCAGAGAGCGGTTCTGCATGAGGGGAGGAAAATTCCTGTTCGACGTCAAAGTGCCTGCAGGAAGAAGGTGTGCAGGCAACGCAGGAACCGCGGGGGGGGGGCGCGAATGCGGGGCATTTTCCGAGGCGGGAAATCCTGGCGGAGGACTTGTTCCATGCACTTTCGCCGAAGCCCGTGGGTCCCAGCCTGTAATTCGTTATTTCAGGAGCAGGTGATGAACGAGGTAATGGAAATGTGGGCAGCGAGTTAAATGAAGTAGAGTATGTGCTCGCGACGGGGGCTGCTGAGCTGCCCGAGAGGATGCGTTGTGATTTCAGGTCAAGCGAAGAAGAGGCCGATATCCACGACGCCACGCGCATGCCTGGCGGCAGTGGGTGCCCCCACTGCGTCAGAGGCAATGCAGAGGGAAGGGGCCGCGCGAAGAGGGGGCGTGAGCTGGGCGATCGGGGCGCCCATCATTTCCGCAGATTTACACGTGGTCAAGAGAAAAGAAGGACGAGCGTGAGGAGGGCGATCGTGGAGGCGTGATCCTTGCCATGCGCTGCCGGAGCACTGGGCTAAGTTGGGGCATGGCGGTGTCGATTGGGTCCAGGTGCCCAGAGGTTGCCCTGCGTTCAGCGCGGCGACGCGTTAGGGCGAGTCGTCCGCGGGCTCGACGACCGGATGCGCGCCCCCAAAATCGTTGCCGACCTGCGCGGCGTGCCGACGTCGCGGCCGCGGGCTGCCTCAATTGCCAGCGGGGGCAGTTCGAGACGCAGGCGGGGGCCCTTGAGGTGAATATCTGGGTGTCAAGTCGGGCCGACAGCGGATGAGGGGGCGCGCTGGGTTAAACGTCGCAAAAGTGGCCGGAAACGCGGTGGCGATCGTCGGGCTAGCTCTCCAGATCGGGGGCGCCAGTGCCCGCTTGCCCGAGCCGGCGCGCCATGGGGCCACGGCGGCCGTTACTTGGGCGGTGGGCGGATTCGAGGGCCGCGCGTGCTCGGTGCCCCGTGGTCTGTGAACCGATGCCGACGTGCTTAACCACCCGGCTGTGTTCGAGCGCAGTCTCTGCCGACTCGTCGAGGCGTTGCCCGAAGGCAAGCATCCGCCAAAGGCCGCGCTGACGTCGCCGCCCCGGGAACTCGCGGGAGCTGCGCCGTTATCCACCGCGGGGCCTTCATCCGAGGTTCCAGATGAGGGGTCGTGGAAAGACCGAGGTGACAAAAGTCGCCCGAGGCTTCGGTCTCAGGGTTGCCCGCCAAGCCGTGCCTCGACGTCGGCTGTTTATCCCAGCGTGCCCAGAAATTCGAGGGGGCGCACTATTGTTCATGTCTGGCACGTGTTTGGCATGTTTTGACCGGTAAGCCCAGGGTGCTTTCCGCCAGAGTTGTATGCGAGGAAACAGTGACCGGGGTGAAACTTGCGCGAGCAGTGCTACCCTGCGATTCGCCTCTGAAGAGAAAGCTGATCTCTGCATCGAGCCCAGGAGCGCGTTATCTTCTACGAGCAGTACGAGGTGACGCGGGGTCGAGCAGGGGCGAGCTGAGGGCGCCAGGGCCAGCCGCGGGGACCTGTCGGTCCCAGACCAATTCTAAGGCGTCGATAACCAGTGACCACATGGTGTCGACAACAGACACCACGCGTTCCCGATCGCGGACGCGCGCCGTCGTGCCGTGTTCTGCAAAGAAGTAGCGTGCTGGCAGGCTTGGCTGCCAGTCATTGACCTAAGGCCGTGGGTTTAATTAGGTCGGCGGATCGCGAGCCCGAGCGCGGTCGCCGAGTTAGTGTACGCGCGCGTGTTGAACCTTGCGTCCCCCGGTTTCTTTTCGCAGTCCAGGCTGCCGGGAAACGATGGGTCGGTTCACAACCGAGGTGACCGCCGTGCCAAATTCATCAGGCAGGATGATTACGGGTGCTGGTTAGATGGCAATGAGCATAGTGTTGGCCATGGGTCAAACGCCTTCCGCGACGCTATCGATGAGACCAGCCGTTGCCCAGTCTCTCGCTCGGACTGCTACCCTTAGCAGGCGAGCTTCGGGGAGGTCCGGTGGCCACGCCAGCCAGGTCGGTTAGCCGCCATCGCCGCCGCTAGGTATTCTTTTCTATTTTCCTATCCCCTCGTCACTTCCCGCGGGAGACATTATCAAGTTTTCGCCGCTTTGCATTCTGCGGCGCATGAACACGTGCTTCGCGTGTTAGGAAGGCCATGCACGTTTACGCCATAGTTTTATCGGGACTTCGCAAAGGGGGGGTGCCACAGGGGGGGATGAGTTCGGTCCGTTGGCGCACCGAACCGCAGAGACACGATGCAAAGCGAGGCTTCCGACCGCCGCCAAAACCCGAGAGGTGTCGACAATCGGGGCGCGCGGGGGGCATCTTTGAAATTCGATGCATCACCAGATCGAATTCCCCCCCTAAGGCCCCCCCTTCCTTGTGGTGGACCCTGATTGTAGCCGCCCTCGACTTTTGCAGATGTTGCGTATTACTATACAGTGCAATTTCTTGCAAGTGGTTTGGGAATTCGGCAAATCCTTCATAGATTTCAGTCAGTCGTCATTTGGTTCGTTCTATATATGAGTTTCTCACCCGTCGCACTCGTCGGCCATGCTGGCCGAGGGGGGTATCAGAGCATGGCCCTGCGGCTGGTTGAGGAGCACAGCGATGAAATGAATTCGAGCAGCTGTCGTCACCGACGCTGTTCGGCTCAATCATTTGATCCGTGGAGCCGTGGCCCCCCCGCTCGCGGTTGACAACATCAAGTCGTTCCCATGCAAATCCTTGTCATGAATTTGCAGGGGCGAGGACAGGAAGAGGAGGATGATGAGGAGCTGAGGACGAAGAGGAAGTTGACGAGGAGACGGAGGAAAAGGAAGTGAGGGATGAGGTCGAGTAGGATGAAGAAACAGAGGATTGGGGGGGAGAACTAGGAGGTAGAAGAAGAGGAGGAGGATGAGGAGACATGTGGAGGAGGAGGGGGAGGAGGAGGAGGATGAGGAGGAGGAGGTGGGTGAATGACTGAGGAGCATGATGAACAAGAGACGAAGGCGGAAGAGGAGGAGGAGGAGGAGGAGAAGAACGAGGAGGATGTGGAGGATGAAGATGAGGATGATGATGATGATTTGATGATGATGATGATGATGATGATGATGATGATGATGATGGTGATGATGATGATGGTGATGGTGGTGATGATGATGATGCTGATGATGATGATGATGATAGGGAGGAGGAGGAGGAGGAGGAGGAGGAGGAGATGGATGATGAGGATGAGGTGGAGGAGAAGGAGCAGGATGAGGAAAAGATAATGAGGGAGATGAAGATGAGTACGCAGATCCATCTGAATGCTGATGATGACGACGACTATAACGAGGTTGGTGATGGGAGTGATGAGGGTGATGGCGATGATGGTGATGAAGATCATGTTAGTGACGGTGGTGCTGATGACTCTGATGGCGCCAATGCTGGTTATGATCATGCTGCTCATCAGAGGTTGACGGACCCTTGCCGATTATTAGTATGATCATGCTGCTGACGATGAAATTGCTGCTGCTCATACTCATGATGATGCTGATGATGTCGATGATGCTGCTGATGATGAAGATGATGATGACGATGATGATGAAGATGAATAATATGACGATTGGGGGTATGATGATGGTGATGCATGTGATGGTGATGATGCTGATTATGATACTGTCTATGAGGATGCTGATGATGAACATTAGACTTTTGCTGTTGATGATGACGCTGATGATGATGCTAATGACGATGATGCTATGATGCTATGATGATGCTGATGCTAATGCGGATGCTGATGATGCTACTGATGATTCGGATGCTGCTGATGCTGATGTTGCTGTGACTGCTATTGTTGCTGATGTTGTTGATGATGATGATGATGATGGTGATGATGATAATGATAATGCTACTGATAATGATGAGGACGACGAAGATGATGATGATGATGATGATGATGACGATGTTGATGATAATGCTGATGATGATAATGGCGAATCTTATGATGCTGATGAGGATGATGCTGATGATGACGATGATGATGATGATGATGATTATGATGATGATGGTGATGGTGATTGTGCTGCTGCTGCTGATGCTGATGCTGATAATGAGGATGGTAGACAGGGATATGCTGATGGTGGTGGTGGTGGTGGTAGTGCTATGATGAGTGTGGCGGTGGGGATGTTTTTTGCTGATGCTGCCCATGATGCTGTTGTGGATGCTATTGATGCTGATGTTGTTGATTCTGCTGATGATGATGCTGCTGACGATGATGCTGATGCTGATGCTGATGATGACGACGACGATGATGATGATGATGAGGATGATGATGATGATGGTGGTGGTGGTGGTGATGGTGATGGTGATGCTGATGCTGATACTAATGGTGATGGTCATGGTGATGGTTATGAGCATTATGCTGATGATGATGATGATGATGATGATGATGATGATGATAATGATGATGATGATGCTAATGATGATACTGCTGATGCTGATGCTGATGATAATTCTCCAAATAGGCTTGCCCTATAGGAGTCCTAGCTCATCATCAGTAATTGTTCTTTAGCACCCCATTCTTTTCCAATGCCCCCCCTTTTCCAACGGCACTTGCTTGCTTGCTCTTGCGTGCTTGCTCGCTTGTTTGTTCTTGCTTGCCCTTGCTTGCTTGTACTTGATTGCTGGCTCTTGCTTGCTTGTTATTGCTTGCTTGCGCTTGCTTGCTTCCGCTTGCTTGCTTGCGCTTGCTTGATTTTGCCCCTGCCGTCCTTTTCCCGTCCTGCTGCCGTCCTCCTTTCGTCCTCCTCCCATCCTCCTCTCGTCCTCCTCCTGTCCTCCTATCAATTTAGAGTCAACGCTGGCTGATATGATGATGATGGTGGTGGTGGTGGTGTGATGATGATGGTGATGATGAAGATGAAGATGAAAATGAAGATGATGATGATGATGCTGGTGCTGATGTTGATGCTGATGATGATGCTGCTGATGATGGTGATGATGATGTTGATGATTATGATGGCGATGGGGACGGTGATAAGGATCTTGATGATGATGCTGATGATGCTGATGATGCTGATGATGCTGATGACGATGATGATGATGCTGATGATGATGCTGCTGATGATGATGATGCGGATGACGATGACGATGATGATGCTGATGATGATGCTAATATTGATGATGCTGATGATGATGATGATGATGATGTTGTTGATGATGATGATGATGCTGATGATGATGATGCTGATGCTGATGCTGATGCTGATGATGATGATGATGATGATGATGATGATGGGGCGATGGTGATGGTGATGGTGATGGTGGTGGTGGTGGTGGTGGTGGTGGTGATGGTGGTTGTGGTGATGATGACGAGAAGGATGATGAAGGGGGGGTTCTGGAATGAGGAGGAAGAGGACGGAGAGGAGTGGGCGGAGAAGGAGGGGGAGGAGGAGGGAGGGCTGGCGGGAGGACGTTATAAGAATGGAGGGCTGGGAGGGCGAGGGAAGATTTGGAGGAGGACGAGGAGGAGGAGGAGGAAGAGGAGGAATATGTGGAGGAGGGGAAGGAAACGGACAGCAAACACTTCTTTTCAAAAAGGGGGTGGGACGATCGCAGGGCGCCCCTGGCGGGTCGCCCGCGGCCGCCCGCGGCCGTGCCCGGGCCATCGGCGACACCGTCGGGGCCCCAGCGGGGGTGACGAGCACCCCGGAGGTGTGCAGCCTGGCCGTAGAGCAGGACCCGGGGCTCGCCTGCCGCCTGCGCCCTTCCGTTCCCGTTCTCATTCTTCCTCGTCTTGCTCTCCCTTTCCTTCTCATCCCTCTCGCTTCCCTCCCTCTTCCCTCCTGCGCATTTCCTCCTCCTCCTTCTACTCGTCGCCTTCCTCCCTCCTCCTCTTCCCCGCTTCCTCCCTCCCCTCTTTCCTTCTCTTCCCTCTTCCCTCCTCTTCCCTCCTCCTCCCTCCTTCTCATTGTCCTTTTTCTCCACTTCCCACCTCGTCCCTCTCTCCTCCTCCTCCTCCTCCTCCTCCTCCTCCTCCTCCTCCTCTTCCTCCTCCTCCTCCTCCTCCTCCTCCTCCTCCTCGTGGCGTGGGTTTGGAGGCGCGGGGTCATCCCTCGTGCTGGCGTCCGCGTGTTACTGTTTCAGTTGAGGTCGGCAGAACGTGCGCAGGTGGATCGTGATTACCGAGCCTGGATCAAGGTATTGGAGAGAACCACTGCTCTGCACGAAGGCATCTCTGAGGAGGGATGGCCTGAGTACTCTGGTCGTGTTGATGGCCCACTGGTTTCGTGGGCTAAGATGAGATATACCCCTGGGCGCACTCACCTTGACAACCCTCAGGTGGAGTGGCAGGGCATCGTCAGCATGTTGTTTGTCAGGTACGTCGCCCTGGTCACCAACGCTTCAGATGCTTCTCAAGCTGACTGTTGCCCTGACGAGTTGGCTACAAGTGGAACACATTTCTGAATTTATTTTCCGGAGTAGTTTGGTAAGCAGGTTATGCAGAAACATATTTTCTCGTGGATGGGCATGCTGTCAAATCTAGCTCTGGTCCCTGTTGCTGATTCACCCGTGCTTCTGGCTCATGCCCGCCGACGGGCCGACCTGGCAGCAGCTCGAGCGATGATGAAAGCCCGCTCGTCTTTCATGGAATGGGTCAAGGAATCATAGTCTGAATCTTCTGGATTGGTTCGTCGTCATGTGAAAAATGCGGTTTGTGTTGAGGACGAAGGCCGCGACCCAGAGGGCCTTTGCACCTCCGACCCGCAGGTGTCGATCGATGCTCGCGGACTGGAGTGGCAGGCCAGATGGACGGACTGTGCAGGTAAGCCTTGGGATCTCATTCGTATGATGAATAGGTGCTGGCAAGCTGCGCCGTCAGTTCTCGGATTTGGATGCTGTTCTCCCCAAGTTCGCGTCCAGGAAGGCCCGAGGAGTTGACGACCTGGGCACGCAGGGCGTCCATGCACAGGCGACGGCAGGAAGGGCTGACCTGGTCAAGTTTATGAATATACTGGCGCGTGGCCTACAGATCTCCTTGCCGCCCTGGGTGCTTCCACTTCCACTGGGGGCGGGTGGCGACCGTGTGCTGTTGCTGCTGGGCGCGCGCCTCAGATCTTGAGCAAGATGAGGGCCGAGGATTCGAGCGAGTGGCCGCAGACGTTGGGCGCTTTCTGGGGCGCAACCGTCGCGGGCTCGTCGGCCCTCCGCGCGGCGCTGGTGCGATCAGTTCTCGTTGAGAGTTCAGTGGCTATGGGAACTGATTTCGCCGCTCTATTTCCCTAGCTGAAGAACTTCGATTCTGTGTGCTTCGTTCTTGTCATTCAGGCTGCGTCGGAGTGCTTCTGGAAGTGGAGCTGTGCGCGGCCCCGCGCGCGCTGATGCGTGGCTATATGGTGTCTCATGACTTGGTCGTCTCCAGGTCGCTTGTTGCGGGTTTCCCTCATGAGGTGCCGTTGGCCAACGTCATGTTGCATCGCATCCTCGACCGCGCTCGCCATGCTGTCTTCCTGTTGGGCATTGCGCCTGCATTGGGGGCTCCCGCGGTCGCGCGGGAGGAAGTCGACAGGAGGTCGAGGAGGATATATTTCTTCTGGGTTTGACGGTGGCGTCTAATCCTAGGGCTGCGAGGCCTGAGGTCTCTGATGGGGCGAAGCTTACTGCGTCCGCGAAGTCCATCGGCCGAGAGCTGGAGGCGAATCTGAGGGAGGTTGGCATCCCTGTGGAGTTTCTCTCGTTTTGGCACACTGCAGCTGGGGGCTCGCGCCAAGACGTTCAAGGGTCGTGCTCGAGTTGGGCGTCGGCGTGGCAGGATTCTGCTCTTCGGGGCGCTGCTTGGCAGTCCTTGCGTTGCGAAGAAGCTCTGGGCTACTGGTGTCTACTCCTCGGCCAACTTTGGGCACCCGGTCCTCGGCGCCCCTCCCGCGCAGGCGCTGGAGCTACGTGGTGGTGCTGCGGCGGCGCTTGCTGGCTCCAATCGGGGGTGTTTTTGGCGTCAGTTTGGCTTTCGTTTGGCAGGCCGCGATGGCGTGGCTGATCTTGGACTCGACCTGCGCGCGCTGGTGCTGAGGGGGCGGGTTCTGTTGTGGCTGCGACAATTTGAGCTTGGACCTCGCGTGCGTCGGGCGCGGCGTCAAGTGCGTGCTCGGCATCCTCAGTTTGCTCGTATTCCAGTGAAGTGGTCGGACGTGCGGGGCCGAAATGCGGCGGCGCAGGCGACCGTTATCCAGGCGGGCTGTGGGCCTCATGCGCCCGACGTCTGGATGCGTCGCGGAGTGGAAGGGCCAGAGGAGTGGTCTCCTTGCTTTCGAAGGCCCTGGGTTCGACGTGGCAGCGGTGGCCAAGTACGATGATCTCCCCGGTGATTTATTTCGCGGAGGATTGTGCGACGCAGGTGCGGCGGCCTGCCGCGAGACACCAGGCGGGCGATGGCTTGTGCGCAGGACCTGGCGCGACGATTGTGTCTCGTGAGTTGGGTTACCTGGCGCAGAGAGGAGAGATGGATTTGTGGTCGGCCAATCTCGCGGGACTTGCTCGAGGTCAACGACCGCGAGCTCGTCGTCGCCAGGCTGGTTGTGATAGTCCTGGGGCATGCCCGAGATGCAAATCAGGACCCGAGTTCTTGTTTCATCGTGTTTGGCTGAGCCCCGCGAACTGCGGGCGGGAATCTTTCGCGTCTACTGATTCTCTCCTCTCTCAGGCCATGGCCGCCCGCGAGGCTGGGCCCGCGCTGCGGCTGAGGGGGCCCCTCGGAAGGAGCTCGCGGTCCGTGCGTTGTGCGAGGGCCTCGCTTTGGGCCGTGAGATCCCACCAGGGAAAGTCAGGCTCCTGGGCCGGAGCTTGGCCCGTGGAGGTCGACCGCGCTGCGTTTTCGGAGACGGTTCGTGTGGGGAGTTTAGCTCGGGCCCGAGGCGGGGGCGCTGGGGCCTAGCTCGAGTTTGCTCTGGGGGCCTCATCAGTGCTGCTGCGGTCACGTGGGCCGGCGGCAAACAGTGGGCCGGCGGCGGACTCCGCCTTTGGGCCGAGCTGCTCGCGTTTTGTTTGGCCCGGGAGCTGGCCAGGGGCCCGCCTGTGTGCGTCGCCGATTGTGAATCTCTCGGGTCCGATTGGAATCTGGGCAGGGCCCGGGCCCCTCGTGGCTGTAACGGGGACCCGTGGCATAGGATTGGACTAGCCTTGGGATCCCGTGGCGCTGCCGAGGTCCAAGCGGTCTGGGCGGAGTCTCACTTGCATCGGGACCCAGGGCGAATTCGGGCGCCATGGGGGGCTTTCTGGCCTCCAGGTAATGCCCGTGCGGACTTGTGGGCGGGGGGGGGGCGGGCGGCTAAATGGCCCCGGGACTGCGCGGTCGCCCCCCCCCCCCCCCCCCCCTCGCGCGCGGATTTCTACGGCGCCGTTTCGGCCGTGGTCCGTCGGAGGGCGCCGCGGGTGGGTGCCGGACCGTTTAAACGGCGAGTTTCCCCGCCCAGCGAGCTCGACCGTGCCTTTGGGGGGGGCGCGCATCTCTCCGAGCCCTTCGTGTGCAGATGGCGATGTCAGTTGTGTATGCAGAGTGTTTCTCGCCCTCAGCTCCTGGCTGCGGCGGCCCAGAGTTGCTCGCGCGCCCTCGTCGCCGAGGCTAGTTCCGCCGACCCTGGCCCCTCTGGCTTTGAAGCTGTTTCCTTGTTCGAGCCGCTTCATGGTGACCGGTGGGTCGGCGGAGTGAAATTCCATTCCGCGCCTGTGCTGTGAATGAAGGAGTTCGGTGTCAAGCCTTGTTCCTCCCGCGGCTTCGCTGCCGCCGTCGACGGCGGGGGGCTCGCGGGGGAGTGCGCGTCTTAAGGCGAGGCGGCCCCCTCGAAGAGGCTCCGTGAGAACCTTGCTCACATTCTGAAGAATTTATGCCCTTCTCATCGAGGGCCTCCTGCAGCTTTTTTGGCGGACATGGCGGGTCGAGCCGCGGCGATTTCGCGCGTTCCTGGCGGGGTGCCTGGGTCGCGCGGTCCGCCCTGCATTGTCCCGGAGCCCTCGCGAGCGCGCGGCAGCAGCGATTGACGAGTCCTCGTCCGCCTCCTCCTCCTCCTCCGCCGTTGCAATTTTGGCTCGAGGTGGGGGCGGGCCCCAGTTGGGCGCGGCAGCTCTCCGCGTAGAGCTCTCTTGTATTCGACCCCGGGCGGGCGCCGAGCGTTTTCACTCCCCGCGCTGCGGGGCGCTCCTCATTTTGCGTGGGCCGCATGTCTCTCGATGCCAACGCCATGCGCGAGCTGGTGCAAGGAGAGTTTAGGCCGACCCAGCTCCAGATCAACCAGCTGGGCGAGAATATCACGGAAACCATGCGAGCATCAAGCTACTGGACTCTCGCGTCTCGCAGCGCCTCGACGACTTCGGCAAGGGCGCGGCGCAGCTCCGTGAGGGGCTCAACGGTGCCAGCGCTCGCATGGCCGCGCTGGGGAGGCGCAGTGGATGCGGAAACGGGGCGATCGACTTTGATGCCGATGCAGAGGGTGACCCCTGCGGTGGCGCGCCTCGGCCCGCTTCCCTTGGCGTCGCAGACGCAGGACTGGCTGCTCGTGTGCTGAAACTGGAGGGGCTAATGGCCTCGCGTTCTTCTACGGCTCCAAGCAGTGGCGCGACGGGCAGCTCGACATCTCTCCGCAGTGACCCCTGGTCGTCCTTCGCCCCTCGGCTGTCCGCGGCTCAGGGCATGGCGCTCAGACCGAGGTGGTGCGCAGCCGCAAGAAGATTTGGATCCGCGGCTTCCCGCGGAAGATGATGGCGTCCACCTTCAGGATCACTTCCTTGTGATCAAGTCGAATATGGCTCGCGAGTACAAGGATAAGTGCAATGTGCAGGCGCAGAACTTTCAGTTCAGCTACAACATTCAGTTCGAGGACGAGGAGGACGCGCAGCTCTTCCACTCGGCATCTCGGGCTGACCCGACCATGTTGACGTGGGCGGACCCTCGGGGGGCAAGGCCGTGCAGTTGCGGGCTGGATGGGGCCAGCCGCTTCCGATCCGACAGAAGTCCTTCGCGCCGGGGCAATGCTGGCAGCTGGTGCTCGACGAGATGAAGCAGAAGAACCTGTGGCAGGCTAGCATTCGGCTCGGTTCGAATCCGTTCACGGGCACTCTGCACCTGTCGAATACCGCCTCCGAGGGCGTGTGGGGCCTGGTGAAGATCCACGAGAACGAAGGTGGCGTCGGCACTTTCGTCACCACCCCGCCGCGTGACATGAGCCTTCTTGGCTTCGAGCAGGCCTTCGTAGATGCGGTGGCGGAGCGAGTCTCGACCGTCCTTGCCAAGCAGCGCTAGGAGGTATTCGAGACGGAGACGGACCATAGCATTTCCCCTGGGATGGTCAGTACTGCTGGGCGACGTGGACCACCGCGTGCGGGTGCTCGCGCAGTGAAAGCGCGTCTCTGTGCCCCCCCCCCCCCCCCCCCTCGTCGTCCTCCTCCTCGTCCTTCTCCTCCTCCTCCTCCTCTTGCTTGTCGTGCGATGAGTTTGATCGCGCGTTGCCTGGTCTCAATCAGAAGATTACGAATTCATAGAGAGCGCCGTTTCCCTTGACTGAGCCGTTCGGGGTGGTTTCCTGGAATTCACAAGCCTTGCTAGGATCGGTTTATGCCGATCATCAGCGTCAGTGCCGCAAGTACGTTCGCTTCAGAAGCCTCGTCGAGAAATATCTCATCGTATATACGCAGGAGACACGTGGTACGCGCGGTGATCTGGAGACTCTGAGGCGCGACTTCCCCTCCCACTTCCATATAGGTGGTTTCTGCGGCACCCCCATCGCTGGTGGTGTTATCATCTCGATCGCGAAGCGTTTCTTCCAGAAGTTTTCGGGCATGTGTATCGTTCAGGTCACTCGAGGTCGTGTGCTTTTAGTTCGTCTCGCTGGCCTTCGCGGGCAGATAGTGCTCGGCAGTGTGCATCTGGATCCTGCCTTATCGACTGGCGGCGTCCACGGAGTTTTACAGCGCATCAGGCGCAGTGTTCCTGCTCCGCACCTGGCTTTGACATGCCTCGGTGGCGACTGGAAGTTCCCAGAGGCAGGTTCCCAGACGGCAGCATCTCGCTGCCGCCTGAAGACTGCATCACCCTCCATCGGTTCCTCTCGCCCTTCGGCGATTTCGCGGAGGTCCCCCAAGAAGAGGCCACTCATCGTGCGTCAGTGGGTGATGTTGTGGGTGATGTTGTCTGATCTGTCTGCCGCCTTGACCGCGTCTATTGGTCGGCACCGGCTGCGGAAATGCTCGACTGGCACGCGCGTTCCAACGTCGTGGGACTCGCTCGCGACAGACGCGGCTGTTCTGATCACTTCCCCGTTTTTGTTCAAATCGCTCCTGGGGCTGGCCCTCCGTCTCTGCCGAGATGGATCGCGACTCATCCCGACTTTCCTGAGTTGGTCGAGTGTGTCTTGAGTGAGTGCGAGCTCAGTGACGATCCTCTTGTCTGCCTTCTGGAATGCAAGGCGGCCATGTTTGTTGCCGCTGGCACCCTCACCAGGCGTCTGTATCAACCGGGGCCGGTAGACGGACGTCAAAAAATTGCCATCTGTCTCAGGTTCATGCGCGCTGCTCGTGCTCATAGGCACGCTCATCTTCTTGCTTGCTTGCATGCCCTTCCTGTCCTTAGCAACTACTACGACTTTCACCTCATGCGCTATATTGATTACGTAGGCTTTCATGCGTTTCTTAGAGCTCTTAATGCGGATCTGATTTCTTCCATGCTGCTCTCCGAATGCTCTACTGATGCTGGTCGCCCTGATATTGCACGACAGGCGAGGCTGCAGGCATTGCTACGCTCCTGGTCGGTGAAGAGACGTAAGTTGGCTACGTTCTGCGTCGGCGACCCGCTCGATCCTTCGCCCCCTTCCGTGGGCCAGTCCGCGTGTAATTTGGCCGAGTACTGGCGTGAAGTTCACCGTGCCCCTGCCCAGCCTCTCCCTGTTGATCCCGGTGTCCTCGAAGAACTTGCCCGTGAGTTTCAGCGGATATCCCTTGGTATCTCGTGGAACTTAAGGAATTTGAATGTCGGTCTGTTATCATGAATAGGATGGACTCTGCCGCGGGCCGGGATGGGCCCCTTGCAGCGGTTGGAAAAATGGTGGTCCCATTGCGCACAGGTGCTTATACCATGCATATGCTGCTTTGCTTCATGGACGTGTTCCCCGGTTTGGCTTCAATAGTGGCATGCTAGTATTTCTTCCCAAAGTCGATGTCGTCGATGGTGAAGCTAAATCTATCCTGGAACCCAAGCAAACACGTACGTTCACTCTCAGTAGTACTGACAACACGTTGTTTTCCTTTGCCCTGGCGGTTCCGTTTCAGGCCCAGGCCAAATGCTCGATTGCATCGTGTCAAAGAGTTTTTGTTCGTGTCGCAATCTCCTGGACAACGTTGCTGAGCTGGAGTCTTGGGTTGTTGAGTGGCCTGCTTTCGTGGGCACGAGTTTCCTGGCATGCTTGTCCTGGACATCGCTTCGGCCTTCCCGAGCGTCCTGCACGAGTGGATCGTTCGTGTCCTCCAGGGCCTCGGGGCCCCCGATTACGTGGTGCAGGTTGTTCGCATGTTGTGCGACAACATATACGTATCCGTTGCATTTTGTGGCTCGGTTTATTTTGGCTTCCGTATTAGCCGCGGAATGAAGCAAGGTTGTCCACTCTCCTCCCTGATCTTCGCATTGATTTTTTGGCCCTGTCGTTCGGGGTCTTCGGCGGCATCTGGGAGGACATCCCGCCTATCCTCTTGCTTGTGCTGATGGCATTGGCATTGCTTCTGGCGATCTCTTGAAGAGTGTCCCTACTGTGCTGGAATGGATGCAGCATACTAGTGTTGCTACTGGCCTCAGACTTAACACCAGCATGTGCTGGATCGTGATTGCCCGAGGTACTGGCCCCGCCATCGCTATCAACGGTCTTGCTGCCGTGGATATCCCTGTCCTGGATTTTCGCGTCGGTCGCAGCGCAAAGTACCTCGGCATTTCTCTGGGAAGCAATGGTCCTGATGAATCCTGGCGCGGCCCCTGCCTGAGGTTGCTGGAGAGAGTTGCGCATGTTAGATCGCTCAAGATTTCGATGGCTCAGAATATCAGAGCTTACAAGCTGCTCGCCCAACCTGTGCCCTCCCATGCTAGTCAAGTCTACTTCATCAACGACCGTGTCGCTATCGCCGAGCATGCCGCGTTGCAAAAATTAACAGCTGCTCCTCGGCACTCTATTGCTACGGCCTTATTAATGAACCTTGATCAGCTCGGCATCGATGCTGTTCCTCGAGATATTGCTAGTGAAAATGAGGTTGCCCTTTATCGCGCGGCGGTTCGGAGCTCAGTGTTCTCCCATATTTCTGTGAGGTTTCACCGCGTAGAGCGTTGCGACACGGACGTGCTGCTCGTGGCCAGAATGTCTCAGTGGCGCCTGAAGTCTATCGCCTTCACATGGTTAGAAAATTATCGGAGGCTCACCGCCATCGCACCCCGCCTGGCCGATGAAGATGTCACTGGTGTTCAGAAGAAAATGTTCAAGATCCTGCGGGGTACGCGTCAGGTTCCCTCTTTTCCGCACCTCTTGGGACTCCGCATCAAGTACTTCTGGCCTGCGGTCCCTCGTGAGGTCCCAGAAGTTTTTGTTGTTGTTTTTTTCTTGTGGGCAGAACGTTCAATTCCTGGTCCGTCTCGCTGGCCCTTATGCGGCCGTGTCGTTCATCAAGACTATATGTAATGCTGGGCCTACTTCGAGAAGGTTCCGCCAGGGGACCCAGTCGTGTCGCCTCGGGTGCCAGGCCTTATTTGGTGATGCTGTTGTTCACTACCTTCACTGTCCTGCTGCTCTGAGTATCCTCCCATCCGTTTTGCCCAATGCGTCTCCAGACTACAGTGCACGAGCTAGAGTCCAGCATATGTTTTGTGTTTACGGTTTCCGCTGGCTCGTCAAGGTCTCCTGTCCGCTTTCCTTGTGCACTATTTATTGTTCGCAGCGTACGCATTGCGCACTCAGGATAGGTACGGTCCTGAGTGCTTGCTGGCCCTTTCCGCGCCCGTGCAAGGGTGCCGGCACGGCGGCGAATGGGCATCATAAGCCTTCTGCAAACGCAGCGGGGACTACAACCTGCGGCCCGCGGTCCTGCAGGCGCCAGCGCGCCTCCGCCCGTGTCTGTGCCCGCTGCCGCCGCCGCCGAGGACTGAACCCCTTTGCCCTCTTCTCGTTCTTCCTCGTGTCCGCCTGCCCTCTTCTCGTCACTATGCCCGTGCCCTCCTCCTCCTCCTCCTTCTCCTCCTCCTCCTCCTCCTCCTCCCTCTCCTCCTCCTCCTCCTCCTCCTCCTCCTCTTCCTCTTCCTCCTGCTCCTCCCCCGCCGTCCTCCCGCCCCTCCTCCCTCCCCTTCTCCCTCCCCCCCTCCTCGCTCCCCTCCTTCTCTGCCTGCTCTACCGACGCGCCTGGTGGTGCGACAGTTCTGATTTGTCTATCCAGCTGCCTGCGGCCAGTCCCGCCACTGTGCCAGCCCAGAATGCTGGGTGGCGATTGTTCGGGGGGTGGCACACCTCGGGCCCATGAAGGCCTTGGGGGCGTTTTGGGTGCTTCGTGGGAGCCTTCTGGGAGCATCTTGGGAGCCTCTTGCGGCCCCTCGGCAGCGTCTTGGGGGCGCCTCGGGGGCTCTTGGGGTCTCTGTGGGCCGTGTGATGGCGTTCATGGGCATTCGGTGTCCGTGTTGGAGGGCCCGTCAGGGTAGTCTTGGGGCCCTCTTGGCGACCCAGAGTGCCGTTTGAGTGTCCCACTGGTCCGACTCGGGGTCCTTTGGGGCCGCTCTTGGGCCATTTTGAGACTCTCTTGGGCCTTCTTGGGGCCCTTTTGAGGCCTTCGTGGGCCGTATTGTAGCAATTTTGGAGCTGACGCAAGCCCGACAGGTGAGAATGTAAAATCCCATCAACAACCGAAGGGACAATGATTTTGGCCTCTTCGGTCGGGCGCTCCTGAAGCTCCCTTTGAAGCCCCGTTGGGCCGTCTTGCGGGCTTGTTGGGCCGTCCTGAATCCATCTTGGGCCGTTTCGGAGCCATCTGGGGACGTCAAGGAGGCATCTTGGGCCATGCTGGCGGCCTTGAGGGCCCGTCTTGGACGCCAGTTTGGGCATTTCGGACGCCTTGGAGAGCGCCAGGGGGCGTCGGGCCGATCAGACAGCATCGGGACAATGGGCGATGCATCTCCTCCTCCTCCGCTTCCTCCTCCCTCTCCTCCTTCTCCTCCTCTTACTTCTCTTTCTCCTTCTCCTCCTGTTCTCCCCCTCTTCCTCGTGGAGAAGGAAGAGGTGGGAACTCCTCGGCGCTGGTTGTTGCGGCCCAGCGGGGAGAGCCAGAAAAGAGGGCGGGGGGCGACGAATTCGCCAGCGGGCGCTCGGGGATGGCGAAGATGCCGGCGACGACAATGATGGTGACGGCGACGACGACGACGATGATGACGCTGCTGATGATGATGCTGATGATGATGAGGATGAAGCTGATGATGATGATGTCGTCGACGATGATGATGATGACGATGATGATAATGCTGGTGATGATGCTGATGATGCCGACGCTGATGCTGATGTTGATGATGATGATGATTGTGATGGTGATGGTGATGATGACGATGATGTGGACGACGATGATGCTGATGATGCTGATGTTGTCGATGATGTTGATTGTGATGACTATGATGATGCTGATGATGATGGTGATGATGATGGTTGTGATGATGATGATGACGCTGATGATGATACTGATGATGATGGTGATGATAATAATGATGCTGCTGATGATGATGATGACGACGATGCCGACGACGATGATTGAGATGATTGAGATGGTTGGGATGATTGAGACACTCATAAGGGTGATGACAACGATGACAGTGGTTGTGGTGGTGGTGGTGATGATGATGATGACGATGATGCTGCTGATGCTGGTGGCGATGACAATGATTACGATATCCATGATGTGTATCATCATGCTGCTGATGATATCTGGATGAGGGGTTGCGGGCAGGAAGGGGAGCAGGAAGGTCCGCACGTCTCGGCGGACTACAATTTAGTGTGCGGGTTCCGAGAACGACCCCTCCGTTCGGCCATGATGATGGCGATGCTGACGATGGTGACGATGACGACGATGGTGATGACGATGATGATGATGACGCTGATGATGACGCTGCTGCTGATGATGATGACGACGATGGCGATGCTGATGATGCTGATGATGATGATGGTGATGGTGATGATGATGATGATGATGATGATGATGATGATGATGACGACAATGAAGCTGATGATGATGCTGATGATGATGATGATGATGATTATGATGATGATGATGATGATGATGATGATGATGATGATGATGATTATGATGACTATGATGGTGGTGATGATGATGCTGATGATGCTGATGCTGGTGGCGATGGCAATGATTCCGATGTCGATGATATGTAGCATCATGCTGATGATGATATCTGGATAATGAGGAGGTGTGGGCAGGAAGGGGAGCAGGAAGGTCCGCGCGTCTCGGCGGACTACAACTAAGTGTGCGGGTTCCGAGAACGACCCCTGCGTTCGGCCATGACAACGACGATGCTGACGATGGTGATGATGATAATGATGATGATGATGATGATGATGATGATGATGATGATTATGATGATAATAAGGATGCTGATGTTGCTGCTGCTGCTGATTATGATGATGACGACGATGTTGATGATGATTCTGATGATGGTGATGGTGATGATGATGGTGATGGTGATGGTGATGGTGATGCTGATGCTAATGCTGATGATGCTGATGATGGCGATGATGATTATGATGATGCTGATGATGACGATAATGACGATGATGATGATGATGATGATGATGATGATGATGATGATGATGATCATGATGATGGTGATGGTGATGCTGATGAGGATGATGAGAATGACGACGAGGAGGAGGATCGTGGTGCTTTCGCTGACGATGAGGATGCTGCTGCTGATGGTCATGGTGGTGTAGGTGATGATGATGATGATGATTCTGATTATGATGATGATGCTGCTGATGATGATGATGATGATGATGATGATGATGATGATGATGATGATGATGACGCCGCTGCTGCTGCTGCTGCTGATGATGATGATGATGATGATGCTGCTGCTGCTGATGATGATGATGATGATGGTGATGATGATGATGGATGACGGCGACGGTGGCGATGATGACGTGTGCAGCCGGGCCGTGGAGCAGGACTGGGCGTTCATGTTGCTCGCCACTGACGGCGTTTGGGAGTTTGTGACCCCGGCCGAGGCGCCGGCGGGCGGGCTTCTTTGTGGCCAGGAGGTCGGAGGACGCGGGGAATAGACGGGAGGAGTGGCAGGGAGGGGTAGAAGCTCTGCCCCTCCCTCTCCTCTCTACTGGCCTCTCTTCTCTTCGCTCGCTCGCTCGTCCTGCTGCTGCTACTCTTCCCCTCCCTGCTGCTGTGTCCTTTGTGCAGTCCAGTAGCTGGTGTAAGTTGACTCTCTCTTCCCACTCCTTCTCGCCCTCTTCCCCCTCCCCTCCTCCTTTCTTATTTAATCGCTTCGCTCATTCCGTCGGTCCATATTGCCTCGCCGCTGTCGTTTGTCGGGGTGTTGTTGTCAATGCGGTGCCGTTGGGCGGCTGCCATTTTTAGGAGGCGGTGGGTGGTAGTTCAGAGGCCTCATGGATGTTGGTTGGGCTCTCGTGGTTGGCCTCTCGGGGACCTCTGGGAGGCGGTTTTGAGGCCGCTTGGGGGCCGTGTTGGGGCCTCTTGGGGCCTCTTGGGGGCCTCTTGGGGCTTCTTTGGGTGCCTCTTGGGGACCCTTGGGGCCTCTTGGGGGCCGCTTGGGGCCTCCTGGGGGCTTCTTGGGGCTGAAGGCTGGACTTTTCGGTTCCTGGTCCCCTTCTCGGGCCCCTCTTGGGGCCGTTTTGGCCCCTCCTGGAGCGCCCTGGGGGATGTAAATACAGATCACAATATCTCTCCCACCAGTACTTGATGCAAGCACAAGATAAGATAGGATATATAATCGTTATTCGGTACTCAGGCTAAAACGTGAGTAGGTGCGTCCACCCTCCCGCCCAGCTTATGAGCCACAACGGCCACGGGCGGAAGTGAAAGACAATTCCTCGCCTATCTGATTTCATCACAGGGAAAAGAAACTGATGCTGAAGAATGCGTAGCAAATTCTGAAGCAAGCCTCCAGAATATTGATGAACATGCCTGTCGGCTCGACCGGCCAAAAGCAGGCCGCACACCGAACAACACCTATCAATATATCAAGTCAAATCTTGAACAGCAAATAATCAAAATATCCAATCAAATCTTCAGCAACAAATATGAATATACCATGTCAAATCTTAATGCAAACATCATCCACTCACTTGAGAGGGTGCACTCATCTTCTCTTCACCTGAGAGGGTGCACACACATCTCCTCAGCCAACCAACGTAAACACGAAGCTGGTAGCGAATCTCAATGCAATCTGTTCCACCACCCAACGTAAACATAAAGTTTATAGTACATTCTCAATACAATTCTCCACCATCCAACATATCATCAACTGAGCTGACGTGATGATGCTGTAGGCGATGTAAGTCTTGATATTCGGCTCCAGACTTTAGCTTCTGCTCTCGTCTGCGTCCAGCTTCAGACACCGGCCCAAGCAATTGGCGTAGTGCGTGTCCTTGCTATATATGTATATATATATATATATATATATATGTCTGCGAAGCTGCTGCCCTCGTAGTTGCCACTCTCGATGCGCATCGGTCCCAGGGTAACCAACCACTGCCTCAGGAGAGCACTGTCCCCCAGGTAGATCTGTCCATCCTCCGTAGCCTCGTCGGAGTACGCCTCCACCTCAGGCTCAGCCTTCAGGCGTAGTGTGGCTGTCTTGAGCTTTGCCTGCCTGGGCACCTCCGCCCTGAGCAGGTTGTCGCTGCTCGAACTGTCCACCTCCAGCGGTGCCATACCGAAATCCTCGTCGTCGCTCTGCTTAGGCTGCATTATGTAGATAAACATCATGACTCCCGCAATGATCTAAACCAACGTTACCACCGTAGGAGACATCGAAAGACAGACTCCATACACTGCAAGTGCACAGAACTGCAGCAGAACCGCAGCTTGGTCAGGTATCTGGATGGTTCGCTGCGCAGCACTCCTATCCACTGGGTAGTTGTCCATCGCGTCGTCCATGTAGAATGTTTCGACACACTCGGTCTCGTCATAGTTCTCGTCCTTGTCATCGCAGAAGCACTCGTCTACATAGTTGTACGTCTCCACCAGCCAGGTAGATATCTCATCGTTCCCATCCGTGTCGTCGTGCAGCTCCTGCTTGACGTACTTAGCCATCTTCGCGTTCAGGTCGTCGACCTCCTTGTTGGCTTTCGTCCGCGTATTGATGGTGCTCTGTCATCAGGCCCAAGAGTCCGCACGTTAGATATCACACTCTTCCTCGCGTAGCCTCCTGGCAGCACTTTCGTTAAACAGTCTGCTAGCACCTGCTCGCTCTTGACCCGCTTGATGCTGACCTCCTCTAGGGACTGACGTAGGATTGCCGCTTCCAGAGAAAGCCTCCGATCCGTCATAGACACCTTCTCCTTCGTGATCGTGTCATACGGGCTCTTGCAGTCGGTCGCCGAAATGCATTTCACCGGGCAGGTGTCATGCACGATCTCGGCCGCATCCATCTCTGGGTATAGGATCTCCGCCAAGGTTGACCTTGTCCAGATCACCATATCCACAGAATCTGCACAGGAGATTGCCTCCGCCGATAGAGTAGATCTCACCACTCGTTGAATATTTGAGGACTGCCACCCAATGCAATGCACCTTGTACTTGTTGCCGTGGACCTCGTTGATCTTCTCGTCACCCAGCATGATGAAGGGTTCTCGTTGCGATCTGTGCTTCTGCAAATTGTCGAAAGCACTGTCGGTCACGTTGATCACCATGGTCTTCACAGGTTCAGGCCAGCTGTGAACTTGATCAGTCGATCATCCCGCTTCTGGATTCTCCTAATAGCTGCATTCCCGTCCTGTAGGTCCTTCACCGTCGGAGCTTCCAGCGTTGATGCCAATCGGGATGCATCGAACGCTTCTTCGAAACAAGTCACTCGCGCAGCCCACTGCAGTTGTCCAACCACCATTCGTAGTCCTCGATGCTCTGCAGGGGTTAGTGCACTGTCAGGTGCTCTGCTGCGCTCCCTGGAGACACGCGCAGTCTGCATAGACTTCACATAGGCCTCCATGGTGACGTTGATGCTGCCGTCCTTGTCTTGCTGATAGGCCCGGCCACAGAACGTCGCCTTCTCCTGCCTCGCGTACTCGACCTCGCCAAAGCCAATCTCCTTCTGACGGTCCTTTATGATCTTGGCGCCCTCAGTGTCGTCGTCCTGCTTGATGCCCATGAGGAAGTCGTCCACGTATAAACACATGATCTCGATGGTCGTGTTCTCTTTGTTGCGCTTGATGAAGGTCTCAGGTGCGAAGTCCCATCCAAACTTCACGAGCGTCTCGCGCAGCGCCGCGTACCAAGCTCTCGCAGCATCGTTGGTCCCATAGATGCTCTTGTTAAGCTTCAGCAGGTCGCCTGCCTTGACACCTGGGATGGTACACTTCCCAAGGTTCGTCGGGATCCGAAATTGGAGCTCGCGTGTGATCGCCTTGCCTTGTAGAACGGCTCCCTCTACATCTGCAACGACTAGGTCCAAGTTGAGGCTTGGTACGATGCTGCGCAGAGGTAGCGTCATCTGTGCTGAGACTGTAGGAGAGTCTCGACGTAACTTGTCGTCGAACTCATCCTCGTAGCCCCGTCCACATATTCTCGCCTTCGGCTCAAAGGTCGTAGGGTCCTTGTCCGTCCAGACCACCTTGGAGCTTCAGATCTTGTCTGGGTCAATCTTCTCAACCGCTGCTCCTGATATGTGGGTTGCTGCATCGTACTTGCACCAGGTATTCCACTCCTTCTCAACTGCACTCTGCATCTTCTTCCATTTGAGCTTGTCGTCGCCCGGCGTCTTCAGATTGATCTCCTGATGCTTGTTAGCCCTTGTTGGCTGGGTGCGCATCCGCTCGGCCACGAATGCTTCAACCAGGAGTGGTGTCTCCGCCAGCTGCTTGACGGGTCCCGCATGCCCCTTCGCACGCTTGATGCTGATGGACACGTCGTCCATCAGGACCTCCTTAAGCGTCGCGGGATGTTCCTGGCGCTTGCTGCCCTGATGTTGCTCCAGCTGTCTAGTGCTCGATGTTGTTGTGCCTTGTTGATCTTTTTGATGCTGCTGTCGGCGCTGCTGCCGTCTCCTCTGCCTTCTTGCGTTCTTCCATATGCCTCTGAATACTGGCAGGTACTTGAAATTGAGCTCGGTCGTCGTGAGCATCATCCTTCTTGGTCTGCTTGATCTTCAGGTCCTTCTTGACCGAATGCTTCTTACCACCGCGTTTCACCTCCTTGGGCTGCTCCGGCTCCTCCATGATCTTGTCAGTGTTGCTACCGCTTGGAGGTCCAGGCTGTGAGGCTGCAGGTTGCTGGTCACCTCCCGGTCCATCTTCGGTTCCTTCCTCCTTCAGCGATGTGATCTCCTCGGTGACCGTGATCGGTTGCTGTGCCACCACATCGTCGATGATCTGAGGGTTTGCTATCTAGTCAACCCTCGAGATGTCTTGAACCAGGTCGAGTGTGTCCAAGTTGAACAGTCGCCTCCTCTCGATCTGATACCCTGGTGCCGGTTCGGGTAGTAGAGGTGCATTCCTGATGTTGTCCAGCTGCCTCAGGTCGGTCTTGCCCTGGCTGCTGGATGCCACTGCTCCCAGGATGGTGTCCCAGGCTTGGTGTGCTCGACGTAGTCGCGCTCGTAAATCCTCCTCTGCTCGGTCTTGATCAGCTGGGACTGGTTCGTACTCATCGTCCAGCCTCTGCCGCATCGGCATCGCGTCGTTGTCGTGCACCACATCCGATCGTCTCTTTCTGCTGTCCGACCGCTTCGGATGAGCCGCACCACCTTGAGCTGTTGCTGCTCCTGGTGTGTCTTGTTGTCCCTGCATTGGCCGCTGTTGTGGAGCTTCTTGCTGTCCAGATAGCTGCTGATGATAGTCTTGCTGTCGTTCTGGAGGCTGTTAATTTTGATGTTGGTCTGGCTGTTGATCATGATATTGGTCTGGCTGTTGATCATGATGTTGGTCTGGCTGTTGATCAGGTGGTTGGTCTGGCTGCTGAGCATCTCGTGCTGGATTATATTGTTCCCCTCGAAGGTCTATAAAGCCTCTCTGTCCAGCTCGATATCGGGCTGGTC